CGAGAAAGATATTCGGCTGAATCAGCAATGTTTGTGGTTAACTTCCGTTTCCTGACTTCCTCTGTATTTTAGTTCTTACTTCCGTTTCCTTTCGATTTGTATTTTTGACTTTTCGATTTATTTTTATGAGCCGCGGCTTTGACTTATCATTTGGGAGTTTCGCTTTATAAATAGAAGTTTGGACTTGCGTTTAATTTTCATATATATCCTTTGAGATTTGAAATGTATTTTGCATTTTTCAAGTATATGCTTTAAACTTTCGTTTTATTTTTTTGAGTTTGAACTTCATCTTGATATTTTCAACATTATATTGAAAGTTATTACATGTTTATATGATGTTTGAATATTACTTATTGACTTGAAATAATTTTGACCGGGATGGAACGCCATAGCCTGCACGCGGGCTACAGGGAAATTAAAATTTTAAATAAAATAGCAATGAACAGTGAATTTAGTAAAGTTGTAGACCAAAGCTTGTAATGATGTTGGAGACCAAAGCTTGTAATGAACTTTAGTAATAAACAACAGCAACCTCATTTGGACTCGACCTTGTTTATTGGAAAAAATGTTGAATAAAAAACCAACAAAAATTCAAATCTTTTATACGCACAATAATTTAACCGCCAGAAACCTCTTTCGCGAAAAAAAAAATTTAAAAAATAGATTCAAAAAATGGAAATCTATACACGGGCGCGGCCGCCGAAATTTAATTTACTCAGTGAATTATTCTATTTTATTTATTTTTTATTTAATTGTTTTTTTACAAATTAATTATATTTATTCGTAATTTACATTTAAAAAAAAATTTAAACAATGAATTTATAACCCAGACTGACAATATTTCTACGTATACACGCATGCGTGGTTTGTCTATTATTTTAGGTAATTTTAAAGGTTATTTCAGATAATTTTACAGGTTATTTTAGATAATTTTAAAGGTTGTTTTAGGTAATTTTGAAGGGTCCATTTCTTATCTAAATACCAAGAAACATCTAGGTACGCTGGTAAGCTAAATCACCCAGTAAAACGGGCTCAAAGCTAAAACTATAACAGGATAATTATAAGCGACAGTGACAGGCTAGGTCTCACACACTAATGCTGAACACCAAAGCATGCAAGGCATGTTACGTGCTTATACTGTTAGTTATAAAATCAGGCAATAAATAAGGATACGGTAGATGTCCACTTTTCACACGAATTGCGTTAGCAAACGCCATTTTCTTAGTGACCATAACTAAATCAGTCGCAGCGAAATGTTTCACATACTTTCTTGCTTTTTCATCCTGCAGCTTGGAACCATAGTCAAATAATTTGTCCAAGTGGGAAGTCGCGATGTTTGATGTGAATTCAATTTGGTCCTGAAACATAATAGTAGCGATGGTTATGGTTGGGGTCATGGTCAAACTACGGTTGTTAATATAAAACAGTTATGAGACATACCAAAGCCTTCACTTTATTGCCAAACATAAGATTTGAGAAAATATCATTATTATCAACGTCAGCAAAAAGTCGATACGGAGCATTGGGTAGGAATCCTGCGTATTCCAGTTGAGGGAAGGTTACTGCTGCGTGATACCCGCTCGCTAACCACAACAATTTTGATAGAACATCTTTTAAACTTTGTTTATTTGTGAATTTACTTGGGAATTTCTTCACCTGTATAAAGATTGAACAAGAATCGGTTTCATGACGTGGGAGATTGCAGAGAAGATGAGGGAAGCCAGCCTTAGATGGTGTGGACATATAAAAAGAAGAAATGAAGAAGGGATGGTCAGATATATTATGAAAAACAAACCAGAAGGTGTAGAGGTAGATATTGCAGAGAAGGTGAGGGGCGCCAGGCTAAGATGGTGTGGACATATAAAAAGAAGAAATGAAGAAGAGATGGTCAGATATATTATGAAAAAGAAACCAGAAGATGTAGAGGTAGATATTGCAGAGAAGGCGAGGGAAGCCAGGCTAAGTTGGCATAGGCATATAAAATTAAAAGAAGAAATGAATGAGAGATAGTCAGATATATTATGAAAGAAGAAACCAGAAGATGTAGAGGTAGATATTGCAGAGAAAATGAGGGAAGCCAGCCTTAGATGGTGTGGACATATAAAAAGAAGAAATGAATGAGAGATGGTCAGAGATGTTATGAAAGAAGAAACCAGAAGATGTGAGAGATTGTAGAGAAAGCGAGGGAAAGTTAGAAATACGACATACCATGCCACGTGATGAAGCAGTTTGATTTCCTTCAACAGACGCAAGATCTGCCCAATGTTGCAGTTCTTTATCCTCGTTTACATCTGAGTCAGTTAGATAATACCTGAAGGAAAACGCACGATTTCACTAAACACTGTGCTACAGCAGACAGTAGTCAACCTGATCAGAGTGAGATAATCTTGTCCTACAGCAGACAGTAGTCAACCTGATCAGAGTGAGATAATCTTGTCCTACAGCAGACAGTAGTCAACCTGATCAGAGTGAGATAATCTTGTTTGAACATGACTTACAAATCAACAAAGCCACTGACAAATGTCTTGATACTCTCAGTTATTAATCTACCATCATCTCGATAAGGATAATATGGGACAATGTTCTCTTCATCCAGACCTCGTTTCTAAATTGAAGCAGAAATCCATTTTGAATCACCCGTGAATATTTCGGTATACATGTGCGACCATATTATCGACTGACCTTCATATCAGCTGCTAGGTCAACATTATCCATTGTTAGCTCTTTGAAATTTTTGTTGATGATTTCTATCGATGTTGAATAATCGACAGAGAGCAAATTAGTGAGCGGTCCCATTGGGCCTGTGGAAGAATAGAATAGCATGTGTTATTTTCCCACGTTCTAAACCAAACCCTATCCCTAACCTAACCTTAACCACAATCTAACCCAACCTAACCTTAACCACAAGCCAAACCCTTACTCCTGACCCCCAGCCTAACCCTTTTGAGATTCTTACCATTAAATTTCATATCGTGAAGTTTATTAGTTTCCAGTGTGGCTCTACAATGATATTGCAACATGTCGTAGATTGGATGAAATTCAGAAAATGTTCGCTCCATGAGAAGACAAAATGGCTCCATGAACAGGTTACTCTTCAATCGCTTGTGAACAATCTGGATTAAACATGGTTAAATTGATCATTGTTTTTGTTCATAAATTTACCGATGGTGGTCAATTTCTGAAAAAATTGATATCTATAGGCAGGGACGCCGGAACGATGTGAAGGCAAGGGGGGGGGGGCAGATTTTCTTAAAAGGGCACTTTTGAATTGATATATACCAAGAGATGTTTGCAAAACATCGGGAGTTGAACTTCGCCCAATTATGTTTTCTATTTATTGGATGATAGGGGTGTGAGGGGGTCTCCGCCAGGCGATTGTGCTATTCTTGAAGCTCGATGACTGCATTTCTTGCGTTTTCTGAAGCAAATTCGTAAAAGAATTGCACTAACATTTCTGACAACTCGCTATTTTGCCAACGCAATCCTTTAAATTGAAAGGGCACCTTTGCCCCTCCTGGTAAAGGGCAACGGGGGCGGCTGCCCCTCCTGCCCCCCCCCCCAGTTCCGGCGTCCCTGTCTATAGGAAGACTACTAACGTAGCGGGGGGAATTAACATAATTCTCTCACTCTGGTGGTTGTATAGTGGTGCTCAGTGAAACCCACCTTTTCCAGCTCACTACTCGAGTCGAATAAATTTAAGACAAAGCAAATCACTGCCGTGTCGCGGTGGTTTTATATGTGATAAACTTTACCTTTGATTTTCTCAGCTTAGAGAACGTTTATTTTTAAAATTACTTCGCCAATGAACTTTTTAGACGGGTCGCTTTTTACTTCATTTAAAACGATCACAGTCCATGCTTTATCGATATAAAACACTCGAGCTGTGCTCTCGCGTTTTATATCTGATAAAACACTCCTGCTCGTGTTTTTAAATAGTACCTCAAACATGGTAGTCCAGTGTCGGCAATATTCTACAATAAGCTTCGTGGTTTATGTTTGAACAACTTCAGTGTATGCAGTATACTATGACAAACTGTCTTCCTAATCTTTCTCAGTGTGTTCTGGCCCAAATTACAGCAGTTAAATTTGATTCAAATCTACTTCACCTGCAGAACATTAAAATCAGCTCTCTGCACCAGCGACTTTGCAAAAAACCATTCCTGACCGTCAGCAGGAACGAACACTCTCGCTTCAGGAATTGCGTCAGCCTGTATAGCTAGCGTCTCTATCTCTTCACTATCGCCATTGTCTTTCATGATAAACATTGTGATTGGGGCAGTAAATTTAATTGTGGTCTGATTGATTAAACGTTTATCTTTTAATTGAACTTTGTTTAAAGCGACTCCCTCGAGTTCTGGGTACCAGGCTACCAAGAGTTTGTTCGCCTCAATGGCCTACAAGAAAAAAAAGAATAGTATAAAAATACCGAGTGAATAGTATGGATGAGTTTCTGGGGTTTTTTACATCTCTGATGATGTCGTAAACGACGAAAGCTAAGACACCTTTTTTATAGTTTTTCTATTAAAATTTGTCGCCTGAGTTAAGCTTTATTTTCAGCAGTAGCTTTTCGCCTCATTGGTTAGGCCTCACTCGAACAAACAACAGTGATAGCAGCCTACTAACTCTAACGGTCGGTGGCAGTGTGGTTAGGGACGATAACGCGGTGTGAAGCATATACAACTATATCTGAAAAAGATAAGCAGAATTTTGAAGTTCGAGGCAGTTGTATATCCTTCCACTCCTAATCCCTAACCTGAGCCTAATCCAAGCCCTGGTTCTCATCCACTATCAACCAAAACTTCAACTTATTTCACTTACCACGTCAATGGCTCGTTCATCCTTGGTTCCTAATATTCCATTCATTGCCGCGTTCCAGTCAAAATGTTTGTTCAATTTACTTTTCAGATACTCCCAGTCAAGTCCTCTGCCGTCTGTCGCGAGAAAATTAGCAATCTCTACGTCAATATGCTTGCCACGCAGCACGTCTATCTTATTCTGTAGCACCTGAGCAACATCTGCTGCCCTGTGAAGGCTCGTTTACACGGGTGATTTTTCTCCTTTAGGAGGATGTGAAGGAGTGGATGAGCTATAAATGTTCCAGGTTATGAAATCTCGTACCAACATCATTAAGTAATCTACTCCTTCACATCCTCCAAAAGGAGAAAATCGCCGCAAAAATTTCCCGTCTAAACGGCCCTTAATTCAGCCTTTTGAATTGTGGTTTTCAGGTCAATTTCAGCCCTTTTAATTGAAAAAACTAAGAAAATCAATTAAGCATAATTCAAGATCAGCAAACGTAATGTTTCTAACATTTTAAAACATTTTTATTGTTAAAAACATTAAGTTTACTGATCTTGAATTATGCTTAATTGATTTTCCTAGTTAGTTTTTTTAATTAAAAGGGCTGAAAGGCGCCTTAAAAACCATCATTCAAAAGGCTGAACTGAGCCTTTAAAGCTACGGATACACGGGCAATACTTGTCTGGCGATGGCAATGCAATGGTGGTAAAATCGTTGCATTGCCGTCGCGAAAAAGAAATTGCTTGTGTATCATGCTCTGCGACGGCAACGCAAAGCTGCGCGCAATCGTTGCCGAAATTTCAAATCATTTGATTTTCGGCAATGATTGCCGAAAATTGGGAGGTGTGGTCAAGGAAGGTCAAGGTTGATGAATGACACGTTTCTTGACCAGCCAGTGAAAAGCGTTATGAAGACATATATTGCAGGTGAAATATTGCAGTTGTAGCCACCTTGTGCGACGGCAACGCAATGCTGTTATCACCCATTGCGTAACCATCGCAGCAAAAATATTGCTCGTGTATCCGAAACTTAACGCTGCCTTACCTTTACGGTTTGTCACTCTGTGTATTTGCCAAACATTCGCTCCCGCAAAACGTTGATCAACGAAAGCTCGATCTTTGAAGAAATTCGCTTCCACTGATGGAGTCTGTCGTAGGACGCTCATGGCACTTTTTGTCTGAAATAAATATAAATTTATCTCAGTGCCATGTGAGAAGAGTACTTCAAGAGAGCTTCCAGTTTGAT